AACTGCCTTTTCATTGCTAACAGTTATGCTTTAAGGCAAGAGGAGCTCAGCTGGCGCAGTGTCACCACCACACAGATTACTTATACGCACTGACTAACCTTGTTATCGAACTAAATACAATTAAGTGTTTATTTTCTGTGCATACAAACTGGCATATATGTATGTATGTAATTACTAATATTCATGGTCTTTAATTTTATTAACTTTTTTCTCCCTTATTACAACAAATAATTTACAGTTACACTTTGAAAATAACAAAAAATTACAAAAACACCTACAACTATTTTAGAATATTTTAAGACTTCAGTATATAATATTACTATTTAAATAATAGCAAACGTGTATATAATGGCATACATAATCGAAGAACAAAAAGTTTAATAATATTATTTAATATATAATTTTATCTAACATATATGTACCATATATTTTGATAATATAAGTAAGAATACTTTTATATCCATTGTATATTTTAAAACCAATATTTACAGTAAAAGCGTTCATAATAAATTTAAGCGTAAATATTTCTAGATAACTATTAATTTTGCTCTAATTTAATTTTTTATAGCATAGAGAGCAAACAATCCCAATAGCAAGAATTTCGTCAGTAGAATCAAAAATATCTAATATTATTTGGAAACAAGCGCAGTTGATGGAGACCAAAAATCAGTGCGAAAATAATTCTAGGGAAATACTAAAACCAGATTTTAATTTATTAGTAAAGAACCAGATCTGATCTAAAATCCTGCTATCCATTCCGATGCTAGAAATGCAAAGAAAATGCAATCTATGCCATATTACAATTGATTGATTTTATCGATTTTTAACATCAAAACACATTATGCTAAGGCAAAACTCTACTGAGTTTATTGAGATATCGCCCAAATTAGTCAATATATGATGGTTTTCTTATAGAACGTTAACATTAGTTCCACGGAAGCTATAATACCTATCACAAGTATTCCTTCCAAGAACATAATTTCAATCGTAATGCAATATAATCTTATTTGAACAATTTCTTCGTAGGTTACATCGTTTACTTGGACAATAGTCCTTGCCAAATTATATTATACACACCTCGTCAGAAAAGTGAAAGCGAAAATTTCAGATCGATATCTAGAAAACTGAGCGATTAAATTCAGAAAGTTAAACATAATAATATGGACAACCTCTGCTCATTCGGTGATTATTAATACATATATTTTATAATGTACGCTGTTCCAGAATTTCGTAAAACTGTTTTAAATATGAACACTTTAGTTTGATCATCAGTCTGTCCAACAGCCTTTAGTGGTCCGATAACGATAGTTTCAACAAATTAACATAATAATAAATAACTGAGGGATCAGTTTTCCTATGTGTAACGTACATACTAGGAAAGGACTAGGAAAGGTGTATAGCGATTACCATCATTTTTATAACGCAGCTTCCACATGTTCTAGTTTTGTTATCATATCATTGCACAATAGTTGTTTGATTATGGATTATACAAATAACGAAATTCAAAATGACGTTTAAAAGAAAATAAGCATTGTTGTAATCTGAGTCAATCCCATCATGTAACTAATAAGTACCAAATGTGGCTGAAATTGTTTGAGAAACTGATGTTTAGTGTTGATGTTTTTTGTTTGTTTCGGAGGGGAATCTTCCTCTTTATTTTCGCCCATACCAGCTTTGATTGTGGCATGTGTCTTATCCGGCGTCATCTTTTGGTTTATTATTCCTCCAAAGGTAATTCTTTCAACTACATATTTCGAATAGAAGAAAAAGATATACTCGGCGTTTTCATTGAAGTAGTCCGTCAAGAATTGAGTCAGATTAAAGTCTATCTCCCCGTGTTATCTCTCAATCCAGGTTGATAGGTTCTTAACTGGCCTATGCGTTCATCTTCCATTTTCTGCCGTATTCCACCTCTCTCTCCATTTATCGCCTGTTACACGTTGGATGCCTATTCATAGCTTTAGATTTTAAGTAGCCTCTACTTACCTCCAAGGCCATTAAATTCGACTACATAAAACCAGATATGGTTCTCACCGTTCCATGTGAGACGATTCTTAACGCATAGACTACTCTAATGTCGCATAGCCTGAACTGCTTTTCCCCATATATGAGCCGCGTTCATCAGTATTGACTTTAGCTGGTAGGGCTCGGCTAGTCCATAGTAACGGACCCAAACCGGAGGCCTGATTCACTCCACCTGTCACCACGTAGTCCTTCGTACATCGTCTGTCAGACAGATAGCTACTAATTATCCTTAGCAGATAACCCTATCCCAGTGTGTGTTTTTGCCTCCAGAGCCCTATTGATATGGGGCCAGGAAGCCTTTAAAAGCATTTTTCTCGTCAAGTGTGACAACTGGCCTTGGCCGCAATGACCGTAAATTTTCCGACTGCATCTTTGGTTTTTTTTTTAGTTTTCAGACAAGCCAGGCAGCTCATTCCAAACGTCAGCGTTTTCAATATTTTCGCCATCGCAACGAGCACACAAAGTGGTCGATAGGCACTCGGCTCGAATTTTTTTGTAAACAACAGATTCCGACTTAGAGTTAGGTTTATATAAAGGCAATATCGATAACTATATAAATTTAATGTGATAGAACAAACTTTTGACAAGTTTTGGTGCCTATAACAGTAGAGCAATGGCATATATTGAAAAAAAAAAAAACAGTCTACAAGCTTAACTACAAATGCCTAAAATGGTAAAGGCAAGATTTGTGTTCACACTTTCAAAAAACTATTAGTATTAAGTGGGATTTTAAGCTAATCTTCATTGCATCAATTAAAAAAAATAGTTTTGTTTGCATCCATCACACCAGCTACCAATAAGATTTTGAAAAATTCGCAATTTCCATTTTCACTTAACATGATTGCTTATTTTGAAGTATGAATATTGGATTAAATTCACTTCATTTCGAATATATCCAGATAAAAGTTAGCGGAAATTGCAGGGAAAACATGAGCAGCTGCAATTGCATTTACTACCGTTGATTGCATGGCATACCTATATACATTGTATATATATTTACAGAAAAGAAAACTGCAAGCAGTTTGTGAGTGCAACTTGTTGAGCTTTCCGAAACAAATACCGAAAATGAACATTTGCAATTTCTGCTGCAAATAATTGTGCAATCACATGTTGCCTATGAATCCCACTTACACATTAAAACTAGAAGGCTCATATACAGAGATGGGTTGTGTTATTCTTCGTTTGTTGTGTAAGAAAAACAATTAAGCATTAGTGCTGGTCAAAGAGAGACCTAAGGCAGCATATGAAGTAAATTTCGTGAAAGATGAATACTAATTTATGGAAATAAAGAGACTTAATGTACAAATGCCCATTATTAAGCAGCTTAGACCTAGTTCATGCTTAATATAATGATAGGATTGAAGAAGAAAATTCAATTAAAAAAGATATATTTTTGGAAAGGGTTTCCACCTGTTTTAAAATTTGCTTTCATAATCTGATGTTTAAAGAAATAGTAACACAAGGTTTTTAAACAAAATTATACTTGTAGTTAAAACTATTTTTTTAAGGTTGGCACCTATTAAAAATTTTAAAATGAAGTGGACGGAACAAGTGTAATATTATAATATGAGTTTAAAGCGAAAATAAAAGTAATTTGGGGGACATATTATTGTTAAGGGTTGCCATTTTTTTTTTTTTTTTTTTTTGGAATAAAATGCTAAAATAAGACTACAATGATATTACTGAGGAAAGAGCGTTATGTTTTTTGCTACTGAATTGGTAAAATAATTTAAAATACCTGAGCAGGATTTTAAACACATTTGTATATAAAATGTATGCACAGAGAATAATTTTTTAATTTTAATATTATTTTCAAAAATATTGCTCAAAACCAATTTTCAAGTCATAAATTTCAAATATGAATAATATATGTATATCAGGTAAATTATAACATTTTTTTTTTTATAATTAATAATGTATGTATATTATAATTATTTTTACACAAATTCTGAATCGATTCATCTGCGGTTGATCAGTAGTAGAACGCACGGTGTTCTATCTATATATCGCTTTATTGTTTTATCTAGTCGCATGCCAAAGATTATTTGCTGGATCACCCGGTTTGGCAGCAACCACAAATGCCTCCAGGGACTTGTTGCGAAATTTCCACTGAACATGCTACAGCTCCTTCGTGGCACGATTGGGAAGTGTTTTGTCGTTATGATTTCTATCAACTTGTCTTGCATGCCGACGTAGCGTCTGTCAGAGCTTCGTCATTACTTCATTGTACCGGAGATGTCTGTTCTGCTTGCGGACGCTCTGTATGATTCTGGCTTCTGACGTACTTATATGGCCAGCGTTGTGTATGCTTCTGGCCAACACTTCCGCAGCATAATCCATATCTGGCTCAGAGGCACTTTTTTCTGAAAATTTTTACTTACTATGTGCAGTGTACAGTTTAAAACAGAATTTATGGCAAGACCAAGTATATATGATATATATATAATTTTCATTTCCGAACCTACTTATATAGTATATACTACTTACCCATAATACTAAACTTAGTTAGCAAAATATAAAACTTTTTACATACAAATATAATATTATAACTTTAAGAACAGGTTCAGAATAGCTGATTACATATATATTTTAGTAATACAAGCCAAAACCCCTGGATCCATAGTAATCAAATATACATACGTACATTTATATTTATAATGGAGAATGAATTTAGCAAAACTAATATTTTCTCATATTACCAATACTATATACTAGAGTAATTAATCTTGTATTACAATAACAATAACAAATATGTTTATCCTTATGTACATATACATATATATAATATACATAACTACATACTTGTAAGTACGTTTTGCAATGGTTAACTCCTCCTCTGTTTGCTCCTAACAATATTGTTACCGAATGTCGAGTACAGTTATTTAATATAACATAAGAACAGCAAAACAAAGAATTTCGCCTTCAACAAAGAAGTAGCACATATTTAGACTCCATGGTTTGAATTAAATTTACAGGAACACATACGTCAGTCGAAGGAGAGCAAGCTGAACGAGTTGGGCCGCAATTCGAAGGCGCGCTCAAGGGAGAATTTGTCGAGCACAATGCCGAGGTAAGTTCCTTATGACGGCACAAATATGCCGTTATGTGCGATTGCAATTTGTAATATGCAATAACACGCACGCTTTGTTGTTGCGCATGCAATGTAATGCATTGTAATGCAATTTCTAGTGACTACATGGCTAACTGACACATTTTCCCCTCATTCCTCCGCAGACCCAAGCATTCGCAGACATCGCTGCAAATACTTAACGACGCATCGAACCGTTATTATCGCGAGGTGGTGCCCATGTCGCGCGCCAGCAGCAAAAGCGATCTCAAGGAGCGTGAACACAGCATTCTGCGGCAACGCAACGACATCGTGGTGCAGACGAGCTTCTGCATGGATGACAACAGCTCCGAGGCGACGGTGGAGGCAGCGTTGGCGGCAAATGCCTGCGATATGGGCTGTCAGACGCGGTAAGACAACAAACACAAACATACATAATAATAACAACAATAACTGTAGCGGTAATGGAAACTAACACAAATCCACACACACACAAACACACACACGTTCAGGCGTAGTTGCATATTCATGTGCATAACAGCATATTTGCATATTTGCACACTTGTCCCCAATGTTTGTTTAGCAATCAATGAGTTTCTCATGTCTCTGCTTGCAGCGAATCGCTCTTCGCCACCCCGCTGATGCACCAGAACTCGATGGGCTCGCTAAAGGACAAGGCCAGTCTACATTCGCGTTCACGTTTCTCCACATTCGGCTACGACACCGCACAGCCGACGCCACCACCACCATCGCAGCAGCCAGCTAGCGCCCGTGGCGGCCAACTAACGGGACTAAATATACGCGAGGCGCGGGAATACATTGAGATGCGCGAGCGACATCCCGGCCCTAAGCCCAAAATGCCGCATATGCATCGCATGGATGCACTGCCGCCCACACCGCCCACGCCAGCTGCGCCGCCGGAGATGTGTCACCATCATCATCAGCATGCCGCACACACGCATGTACACACGCAACAGCAACAACAGCCGCAGCAGCCACAGCAACAGCAATCACGCCAGCAATCAGCGCAGCAACAGCAACAGTTGTCGATGCAGCCAACCAAGGAGAGTGCGGGCGGCGGTGGCGGCAGGTCAACCGCGGCAGCAACAACAACAGTAACCACGGCGATATCAGCTCAGGGAAAAGGCAAGCCAAAGCTAAGTCAATCGACAGCTTACATAGACATTAGGAATTCAGCGCCGGATGTCATCATAATGACATCACATTGACATTTAAGTAACTCAGCGAAAATCACGCCATATCCACATGGGAGCGCACAACAGCACCAGCAACAACAACACAAACGCATTAGCACACTCGAGCGACTATGGGAATGTGCTGGCAGCAGCAAAACGGCCAACGTCGGTGCTACGGAGCGCGAATTTGAGTGAAAAACGCACACGAATAAGGAAGTCATTTGGTTCGGTAAAGCTTTTAAGCGCACGGATGTGCCGACACATACCCAAACACACACACATGCTCAATGTCGGTAGCTTGAAGTCACACAGCTTTCCTTATTAAATGCTTGATATGCGAAAGGCGCATACGGCGCAATTATATTGAGGTTATGTTGGCGCAGGAAATCGATGAATTTCATTTCGCAACGCTTTAATATCACAAAACATGTATTATTAACCATAAATATGTATGAAAGTTCAATTTTTAATATAACACTGGTCCTTAAGCCTAGTTTAAGCGAGATTACTCGATTCATGCTTTAATGACTTGGCGGATTACCGTGTTTTACAATACCTACTTTTTTTCAAAAAAAAAAAGTGTTTTAAGTGTAAGTTTTAAATTATACAAATTATTAATTAAGCAGCGGTTGTTTAAATTATCATAAATTTTCAATATCAAATTTATATGACGACCCTCTATTTTATAAATTTTAGTGACATTAGAAAATAATTAACAATATTAGAAAAATCTACATCTTAATTCGGGTTTCACAAAGTAACATGATTTTTAACACCTTTAACTTACTGCATTTCGCACCCGATTCAAAGTAACATTGAATATCTACGTTTAAGCGTTTTTAAATTTTCGGCTGAATTTCGTCTCTCTATCGTGAATTTAATCTAAGTAACTGAGAAATCTTATGCGCAGTTTTTTCCTGCCTTTAAGAAATACTTTTTTTTTAATAATGAGCAAAAAATAGTAAGACTTTGTTCATAATTCCAAAATTCTTAATTTATTCTTCAAAATTTATGTCGTCCCCTGAAGTAACACCCCTCGGCCCAACACATTTGTGCTAACAAAACTAGCGAACCTCGAAACAGTTGTTAAAGTCAATTTCCGGAATAGACTTCAATGCGCGTAGCGATTCACTTTTAATGCCTTCAATTGGCTCAAAACGGTTTTCACGGAGCGGTCGTTTGAGTTTGCTGAATAGCCTGAAGACACACGGAACTGAATCAGGCAAATGCGGTGGTTACAACACGATATTGGTTGCACATTTGGTGATAATCGAAGAAAACTGTCAACATAGCCTTGATTTTTGATCTGCTTTGACGTGGTTTTTTCGGCTTCGGCTTCGGCTCACCTTTGCGCAAATATTCGGCAGATTTAAATTATAAATTCTTATTATTTTTTGACCACGTTATAAGTTGAAATGTTCATGCCGTCAAGTAACGATTTCGAAGCCCTGAAAATAGTATATTAAAGTTACGCAATTTAAACTTTTTTCAGAGAAGTCTATAACATAAAATAGGCAAATGTGCATCTGCCAAAGTGAACCTCCTTCTCTTACTAATCAAAAGTATTGAGAGCTACTGACTAAGCGCAACACACTTAAAATTTGTCTGTTGCAATTTAAGAGCTATTAAATCACTTGTCGAAATGGGGTATTCAGCAAAGAGACACATTACGATGTGACCATGTCTAGTCAAAATGGAAGTTGGAAGGAGAAGCTATAGTTAAATTGAGGAGTAACATACACTAGTTAACTTAAAAAAATCGCTTCTTCTTTTTGGGAAAGATATCGAAGATACATATAATATATTTGAGAATATTTTTCTATTATTGAAGTTGTCATTTCGTCAAAAACCAAAATTTTGACTAATTCTCACCTGTATAAATCTATAGTAATAATGTTTGTTTCTGGGTTTTTTGATCTGAGATTATTTAAAAATCTTCTACAGCTGCAATTTTTTTGCACATTTTTTCGGAGGTTCTCCTCGAAATCGGCTACTGTATCAAGGAAATCATAATTTGTTCTACATGAATAACCGATCATTAGAGCACATCAAATTCTGTAAACACGATTTTTTTTGTTTATATATAAAATTTATAAAACGCAGTTTCCTGACTTGCTAGTGGCTTTACTCCTACATAATATTTTGCGCATTCGCTGTAAACCCGAGAAGACTTAAGAAATCAAGTAGTTTTAGGCTAGAAACGATGTTAGAACAATCGTTGCAGGGAACGTGTTCAGACAAATGGGCAACGTTTCGACAAAGAAATATTCTTGAAAATTTGTCATACATATGTTTTTTTCCATAAATACTTTAGTAGAATGCCTTTATAATGTTTTCGTTCTACAGAAATATACTACATGGTTTTAAAGAGTTTTGAGTTTAGGAAGAGAGAGTCAGTAATTAAGTTACTCAAGGTTATATGAATAATGACAATGAACTTAAGTACTTCCTTTGTGAGATGTTATTTGGAAAGTTGGGAGAAGAAAAATAAGAGAAGTCCTACAATATATATATGTGTTCTCTTTAGAAACATACAATGAAAGTATAAGTAGTCCTTGAAGCAAAACACGATAATTATTTACATATATTGGACCAAAGCTATAACCTCTAACTTAGTAAATTAATTAACACCCCCAACAGACCTGCCGTTAGGTTAATAGCTAATAAGAAGTTCAGCAATCTTTCTTTGAACCATATTTGTATTATTTCACGATACATAAAGAAAACTTTTTAATAATTCAGCAAAACTTATCATAAATTTGATATGAAACTCCAAATTGCGTGGAGCTCCAAAAAATCATTTATACTTGTGATTTGCAGGTAACGGACGGATAAACAATTTGAATAATTTTAAAGTATGTATAAATGCATTCTTAAATTTAAAAAAAAAAATTATTTAATTAATTTTAAAATTAAGCTCTGAAATTAGGTATGGCCCTTATTAAGGTATTCGTATATTTTCTTGTAACTCGACTATAACTTTGTTGTTGCTTTTGGATGTACATTGTTTTACCCGCAAAAGTAGCAAGTACAAAAATGACGGATCGAAGTAAGTGCAAACTATACCTAAATTGAGCTATTAACCTCCCAGCTCTATGCCTTTTACGAAAACTAAAGCTATAACTACACGTATATACATATATTTAACTTGCTTATCTTCAATTCTTCTTATTTTATCTTCTTCTACTAATAATTAAAAATTATTTGAGAAACGTTTAAATATCAAAGCAATTAGCCAGAGATAAGTCATAGACATATGAATAAGCACTTTTTTGACCTACTAAATTTTTACTAACCCAGCTATTTGATTTTTCCTAGATCAAATATATGTATAAGAGTGGATCAAAAGGATGTTTAAGAGATTTTCACTTTCACTAGACAATGATTTACTCAAATGCATTGAATATGCAAACAAAATATTAAAATACACTCCTGTTTTTTTCATATAAATACATAGGAAATCGTAAACTACAATGCGCCACCTGTTAACATTAATCTTAAGAGATGAAAGTTTACTACAATTTTCACGTTTTTTCGGACGATATTTTTTCAGGGTATTCAGTAAAAACACTAAATGTTTTTTGGCCCGCTCTAATATATATATATATTTTATAAAAAAAAAACTCAAGTTGGGATACTTTTACGGTAAATTAATTATACAAAATCACAAATACATATAACATAGTACTAGTAAGGCCATAACATAACAACTAATATGATATTCGTAAAAAGTTAACTTGTAGTGAATTTGCGAAGTGGTTTTTTAAAACATAAAAAACTTTATATCGAAATAAAAATACAAGTTAGTGAAATATAATATATAAAATAACTATAAAACATAATTTATAACTTTATGAAATTAAACTTTCACTTGCTAACACAGAATTTCGCTAGGAAACTCGCATACATAGCAGCAACATAAAAAAAAATAAATAAATAAATATAAATATCATTTTGTACTAAAAAAATAACAACAAAACTGTAAATAACGTTACACTAATTAATGCAGAATAAAGGAGCGGAAAATTTAGAAATTTACAAACTTTTTTAATACCGCAGCTATCACGTGACACATGTATTACTTTGACATATTATATTTACACACTTTTGGTTTAGAGTTTAGTTGTTTACTTGTTTTTTGTTAGCTCAGCATTTAAAAATGATATGAAAATATTAAATTGAAATACAAAACATTTACACAAACCAATATGTGCTTGTGTGTGTGTGTAAATAAATTTTATGTTATATGTTATGTAAATATGTGTACATGAAAATAGTGAAACTGCATAAATCGCAAAACTTGTACATTTCTCTTAGCGAATTATTGAGTTGAGCTCCCCTAGAATAACTGTTAATAGCTACACGATTTCAAATAGAAAACAATAATTATAATTCTGAATAATTGAAATTAATGTATGTGGCAAATGTGTTAATGATTGCCACACATAAGAATAAACAAATAAACCAACATATACACATTTGTAATAACAGCAGTAACTTAGCCTAATGCATATGTATGTAAGACATGTATGTATGTATATATGGATGTGCGTGCTATATGCATATACCGTATTAAAAACTTGTAAAATTAGCGTTTGTTAAAGTGCGATTCTATTTTGAATAAAAAACTATGAAATGTCAAGGTTTTTTAGTTTCACTTTTGGGGATTATGGGCCAAATTAAGTAATTATTTCAAATCAGCGCTTAAAAAATAAGAGTTCCAACAGTTATTTTCCATTTTGGTGGTCATTTGCAATGCATTGTAGAGCAAGTTTTGAGTTCATAAAGTTCAGTACACCAATGTTCGCTAAGAAAACTTGAACTCCTCTTTCAGCTGCGCTACTTTCGTAGAAGTCATCCCAGCAGTAACCTGCGTATAGCGGAGCTTAGGAACAACAAGAGGTCCTTCCTCAACTATGACGACGACATAAAACAATACGCCGACCAGACTTCGGACGCAACTAACTTCAGACATGCACTAACTGCCATTCACAGTGGATGCATTAACAGCTTCACCGACTCCATCTCAGTCAAATTGGAGTCAAACCTCCACCCACTGCAGACAGCAAGTTCGAGTTGCCGCGAGAATTGAGATTAACCCTTGCGCAACTTTATCCTGGTTACAGTAACAAGTTAAACTCCTACTTATCTAGAATCAACCTTGACATAAAATATATGTCAATTGTGCAACAAGTCCCCACAGAACATCAACAACCTCATTGCATGCCCCGCTAACCCTGTACATCTGAAACCTTTCTCTCTATTTACCGACCCGTCGAAATGGCACGTTTCCTCGGCCAACCGTTGTATGACCTGGATGACAACTTATACCATTCTAACGTGGACTAGATAACCATTACAACAACAACGGTAAGCCTTTGGGAATTCACTGATTAGCAAATTTACTTCCTTAGCTTTTAAAATGCGTTGGAGCTGCTTTCGCAAACTAATTACAGGAAGATGGAACGCTAGTCTTACGAAGCCATTAGTCTAGACATAAAAGTTTAATAGTGTTTCTCTCCCTGGCGGATCTGGATTAATCAAGCTTATAGCGCTTTAAAATTTCCAACCAGAATTCTCAAAAGGTAAGTCAAACTAGCATTATATAACGGAAATATG